TTTAACTCCAACCAATCCACCACATTGCTGAACCTCATCCATTCTGTTTGGTGAGTCACTAACTGCCTCACATCTGACACACGTGATCTCACCAGAACTCCGAGCATCCTTTCACACGACGCTAGTCACTAGCGAATATATGATAGTTGTCATTATATGGTTATGGAGATTGTTAAGTTTATCTGATCGATTACTGATTTCAATGAAACTGAACAATTGACTACTTCTCTCTTGAAATCAGATTATTTTTTCTTGATTTATTCATTCATTACAGTGAAAATCACATTTTGCAGTTTATTTCTTTTGGTATAAATCTATCAGTGGTTATATTTGAATATTTCTTCATAAGTTTCAAAACATTTGTATACACAGATTTGATGAAAGACTGACTAAATCACTGTGTAAACTAGTGATTTAGGGATTAGTCAGTTGTAATCCTAAACTTTCACTGAGTTCGGTGACTCAGTTAATGACACATTACTTGCTACTATTCAGTGTATTGATATTCATGTGATTGAACTGATATCTAATATTGAATAAAACAACATACAATGAATTTTTATTGAACTGGTTCAGTATAGAATTTTCATTAGAAAGAGTAAATATATTTTGTACGATCCTGTTTTCACTGCCATTTCATTTTTTCATTGTCTAACTTAGATTCGATCATAGTTTTCAGTGATTTGAATAGACTATATTAAAAAGGAGGGATGCAAATTTAATCTGACTTATTTCCAACACCCTACTACTTCATACTAACATGTTCAGTTGGAAATGTTAAACTATAAATTATACATATTCTATATTGATGTGATGGTGCTAGCTGTTGATACAGTTAGTTCTCAAATCAATGACTACTTGTTTAAAGTTCCAATCTAATACTTTTACTTTTACTTACGCCTGTTACCCCCAATCGAGCATAGGCTGCCGACCAGTTTTCTCCAACCAACTCTGTCCTGGGCTTCCCTTTCCAGCTCTTTCTAGTTTCCGTTCATTCTTCTCATATTTTTCTCTATTTCTCGGCGTATTGTTCTTCTTGGCCCCCCCTCTTTTTCTTTGTCCTTGAGGGTTCCATGTGAGGGCTTCTCTCGTGATGCAGTTAGGTGCTTTTCATAGTGTGTGTCCTATCCACTTCCACCGCTTCTTCCTCATTTCCTCCTCCACTGGAATCTGGTTTGTTCTCTCCCACAGTTCATTTTTGCTGACGCTGTCTGGCCAACGAATCCGAAGTATTTTGCGTAGACCACTGTTAATAAATACTTGTATCTTATGGATGATGGCTTTCGTAGTTCTCCATGTTTCCGCTCCATACAGTAGAACTGTCTTGACATTTGTATTGAAAATCCTGATTTTGGTTTTGGTTGAAAGTTGTTTGGATTTCCAGATATTTTTCAACTGTAGAAACGCAGCCCTTGCTTTGCCAATCCGCACCCTCACATCTGCATCGGATCCACCTTGATTGTCGATGATGCTGCCAAGATATGCAAAGGTGTTAACGTCCTCCAAGGCATCTCCATCAAGAGTGATTTGGTTGGTGCATGTTGTGTTGCATCGGAGAATTTTGCCTCCTCTTTTATGTATTTCTTCTATAAGAATGAGATTCTTCCAATTAAAGTTTGGTTTTGAGTAATCATAGAGGATTGAAAGATACTTTGGAGAAAAAACAGATGACAGTTTTCATTTACTTCAATACTTTCTCCCATTTTCGACTAATATTTCTTATATCAACCATTGCAAAACACATTTTGATACTATAAATTGGATGTTAAATTATGTCCGTAGTTACTTTACTCTTATCAATTCTATGAGTTCTGCATGTTTTTGTTTGCAGTGATGCATCTGCTACCACCCATTAGCTTCTCTCAAATTCTAATCTAAATCCCTTCGTTCCTTACTTACTGACGGTCGTTATCCCCCATAGAGCATAGGCCGCCAACCAGTATTATCCAACCTACTCTGTCCACAGCTTCCCTTTACAGTTCTGTTCAATTTTTGTTCATTCTTCATTCTTCATTTCTCGCCGTGATGTTTTCCTTGGCTTTCTTCTTTTCCACTGATCTTGAGGGTTTCAAGTCAGGGCTTCTCCTGTGACGCAGTCGGGTGTTTTCCTCAATGTGTGTCCTATTCACTTCCACCGCTTCTTCCTGATTTTCGCCTTCATTTGAATCTGGTTTGTTCTGTTCCTCAGCAAGTTATTGCTGATAGTGTCTGGCCAACGATCCGAAGTATTTTACGCTTCGCCTATCTGCGCCTTCACATTTGTATTAGATCCCTCTTGCTCATCGATTCTGCTGCCGGAATCTATAAAGATTTTTATGTCCCCCAATTCATCATCAGCAAGAGTGATTTGGTTGGAGCATTTTGTGTTGTATCGCAGAATCTTACTTTTCCCTTTGTGCGTGTTGAGACCTGCTGCTGCTGAGGCTGCTGCAAGACTGGACGTCTTCTACTACTACGCTATTTGAATTAACAATTCGATCTCTCTGTGCTAACATGGTATGGCGGCTTGAACCGATGTACGTACGTACCAAGTACCATATTTTAGCTAGTTGACTGAGTGAATGACATCATGTACCAATCACAGCCATTTTGACTCATTCATTCGTAATTGTTATTTTTTGTTTTGTAGCGTGCTGTGGGTAATTATGTTCGTATGTAAAATAAATCTGCTTGTAAAATGTCACTTGCTTGGTTAAGGTTGTGTTATAATGCTGCTATGTATAGCTATTCAGTCCTAGCGGCGTCCAAATTCAAATATTCCAATACGACCCAAATACTATTCCCAAATCTCCTATATATCAGAATGCAACACCGTTGGATGGAGTTGTTTATTGGGTCGAGTACAGAAGAGAGGTAGGCAGGAAGAAGCGGAATCCTGAAGTCTTACAGATAGTGCCTATTTATACATTTAGATCGAATAGGAAAGAGCATCAAAGTCTGTGACATTGACAGTTTAGGACGGCCAATAGGAAAGAACTTTTGAAATGACATTGACAGTCCGGATGAGCGATAAGAGACAACATTGAAGTATTCGACTTTGTCAGTTAAAACGACCATAGTTTTGACCAATAGAAATCGATCGACAGGATTATACATCCAAAAATAGTACTCTTAGGATATTTGGTGAATATCCTAACAGGTTGATTACTATTCTGAACTTAAGAGTCAGTGCAAGACAGGGCATTAAAAAACAGAGAATCGGACTGTAATAAACGTATCGCGGCATCTCAAGGCTACCAGAGCTACTTATCGTATAATTCGGTTAGCTCAGAGACAATTTTGTATAAATCGATGTTACAACTGTTGGTTTCGACACGTATCACACGTCTGAAACAAATAAGTCGTCATATTATTTCCTAAAGATTATGTGCTCTACAGTTGTCCACAGACGTTTGGCAATCTGATTCTTTCCTTCATCCGAATCATAACACTATTTGTCCTATAATAATCATAGGCAAGATTAGTTTTTACAAAGCTGCCTGATTCACTGGGAGTTAATTTGAAACAACGTGGAGGAACTAATTCGTTCGATTATTTGGATCAAAAAACATTCGATGTGCGTTTCTGCACAAAAACTTATGGTATTATTCTTCTCTGGTGCGTAGAGAAATCCAAATTAACGCTTACTTATTGAATAACGTCTAGCACCCTCGAAGGACTATTGGCTGCTAACCAGAATTCTGCAGCAAACTATATGTTAGACCTTCCCTTCATTCTTTACCTAGTTCTCTCTACGAAAATTCCATGTACCTATAGTGATTCTTGCTCTGACGGTCAAAATGAAACATCAATTATGTGACTTCCCCGAAAATAAGACTCTCATCATGTGACAACAAATATCTTATACACGAAGACCTTTCAAATTATAGTGCACAGTTGAAATGATTTCAATTCATTTTCCTGGTTACTATGCTTATAGCAAGTTTGTTTTCAATTAACTGGAGTTGCTTAACGCAATGCATAACCCAATTTCATCTAGGTTCAAGGCTCGCAGCAACCCTATCACTTCAGTTCAATAACTATGTAAATATCAGCATACTACTGACAAAGATTAACAACAGTAAGCCTTCAACAACGAAAATATCTTATATTCACTGTCTTTCAACAGAAAAAAATTTATTGTTAAAAACATCAGTTCTAAGAATAAATTTGATTAGAATTTACTAATAATTACCGATGACAAAATGACAAATACAATGAAACGCAAAGTATTGACAAAAACAACAAACTAAGCAAAAACAACATGATATAAAAATTTAGAGAATTCAGTAGAAATTTTTCAAAACTGAATAAAAGATTCGCGAAAAAAGATTTCTCAATACCAGCTTCATTGAAAATTGAAGTGCTTGAACTTTGAGGATGAGAAATATTCTGAAAAATAAGATCATATACACCAAATGTTTAACAGTAAATACTTCATTCATGCTTCATTCATTGCTTTAAGTATTTGTGAACGAACATTCACAACGTCATGATCAAATCATCGTAACCGTAATAATTTATCGGATAAATGTGGTGAAGTTTCATTAACCAAGAATATTCTGTTGTATTTAGTAAAATTATTGCTACAAATACTGTGATTATTTCAAGTCATGTATAGAGAAAATAGTAGGATTAAATGATGTCCAATGAAAGAATATAACACATCACTTCACACATAAATGTCTTAAATGTAAAATGAAACTTATAATGTTGGTTTAGAAAAAATATCGGAATCAACGCGACTATTGAACACCATCAATCGATTAAAAACCAAGTAGTGACCTTGAGTTCCATAAATTCATGAAAAACTATTCTATTCATTCCAGGTTAGGGAAATGATACAGTGGATATCTACAGTCATTCAGAATACATTCAAAAGATTTAACTTTGTTAAAAACGAACCAAAAATGAAAATAATAAAACAGAATTATTTAAAAGCCGGAAATTCCATATTTAGTTACATTATAATCGTGAAAAAAAAGTGTTGAAAAAAGGTTTTGAGACAAAATGATTCATAATTAAAGATGACGATAACAATAACAAAGAAATATTCCAATTAAAAATATGAATAAAAACGGAACCGTCGATGACACAGTGATAATAGTTACAGTTGTCACATGTTCAGACTGAGAAATACTCTGAAAAATAAGATCATACAGAAAAAACGTTTCACAGTAAATAGTACATTCATTTGTACTTATTTAACTGTTTGTATGTGACAGTTATTGGTGTTCCTACTTGTAGCAGATATAACGCTGGAACACGTATAGCCAGCAATCGAACGTGCTATTCAGTGGGAATATTGACAAGGTCAAACAAAACAACACCGAAAATGGTGTGTAAAATATAACAATAAGCACTTGCCTTATGATCTTCCGTATTTCCTGAAGTAGTGATATCGATCCATTCGGAAGTAGCAGTCGTCAAATCTTGAGGCTGAAAAATATTCTGAAAAATAAGATCATACATCCAGTGTTTAGGTGTAAGTTCTTCCACTTCACAGCTTCCAAATAAGAACGACAGTATTGGTGTGATTGCATGAAATCGCAAAATTAATTACTCAACTCATTACAATTTATGTTCAACATTATCTGTGTTTTCGACTCAATCCTAAGTGGACAGACTCTTCAACTCCGTTTACGTGAACACCAATTTGGGGTCAAACGCCACGACAATTTTTCGCTTATTTCAATCAATACACACGTACAATTATGGACAAACATACGATTGGAACAATCTGGAAATACTGGATGGGGAGAGCCAAAGAAAACTAGAGAATTTTTAGAGGTTTGGAGCTCAGCTAAATCACCAATTAACAAACACATCGACATTGACCCCATTTATCATCTAACCAGAACAATCATAGGCGACATAGGATCGTGCAACAGATCAAAAGGGAGATATCATCAAAACAAGCATGCAAACAACGATAGGTTCAAGGTGAACAGCAACCAATCGAGATTGAGGTTTACAGAACAAGGTAAGGGTCAAACGTGCATAAATTCGAATACTTCATTTCTATCGGACGTTTGTGCTGATGACGTTGTTCAGAAGAATAATAAAAGCTCCACAACCAAAACATCCAGCTCAGAGAACGAAACACCACAACACTCAATACTACGAATACTCAGTGAAATGTTCGTTTCATTTTCACTGTGAGATCTTACATATCATTACAATGATCCATTTCAGTGGGATGTTTATTAAGCATATGACATACATTGTATGTAGTTTATGACCATGAACTTTTTTTCCGTAAGAAACATGCAACATGGGATTTTGTGATAATTTCACAATTGTGTTGTTCTGTAATCAGTGATCAAACGGATGTACGGGTCAGTATATAAGTGGGCGTATTTTCTACTATGATCGTCGTGTTTCGGAGTTATAATAACTGTTTGTATGCTACAGTCATTGGTGTTCTAGTTTGCATCGTGAGTGAAGTAGTGTCATTTTGTCGCTGATCTAACACCACAACACACGTAGGCAGCAATCAAACTTGCTATCCAGTAAGAATATTTACGAGGTCAAACATAACAACACTGAAAATGGTATGTAAAATATAACAACAAGCACTTGCCTTATGATCTTCTGTATTTTCTGAAGTAGTGACATCGATTCTTTCGGAAGTAGCAGTCGTCAAATCTTGAGGCTGAGAAATATTCTGAATAATAAGATCATATAACCCAGTGTTTAATTATTTGTTTCGCAATACTGTTACTTGTTAATAAAATTCCCGATTGTTCCATGAACATTTATATTAGTTGAAATCATAGTTTTGACATCAATCTCTTAATTTTAATATTATTTACTTACCTTTTTATAACAGTCGAATTTTAACCATCTCATCGTGTGCATATCTTGACCATTGCTACATTTCTCAATATCTGGACACCAATAACATTTGTGTTTCGATGTGGTTGAATGAAAGCATTGTTCCGGTGAATTTTGTTTGGAACAAAATTCTGTAGAAACAATACGATAACCGACGTTTTTATTTATTTGAACGACAATGAAACGAAATATCAATGGCAACAATTTTAATTCACATCATCTTGTACACTGAGATACTACTGGTTAACACAAGTAATTTTTGGTATCGTGACTATTTCCTTCGAGTTTGATAGATGATATTTTCTTCAATGTGATGTTTTTTCTAACTGATATTGAAGCGATCGATTGTTTAGCGGTTTCGGAAATTTGGTCTGTCATGAAATGCTATATGAAATATTTTGGGAAGTTGCTGTGATTTATCACCTCACTGAAATTCAAATGACACAATAAATCAGTGCTAACACGATGGAACTTCTACTCATCATCATAACATTCTTGACTAACTTTTGTTTGACAATCTGATCCATTGTGATGATGTTGGTTGTGTGGAGGTGACGTAATCATGGGAGGAATGTTAACTTATCATAATCAAGAATATATATAAAAATCAACTGAGACAGGTGTGTGTGTGTGTGTCTCAGTGATTTGTGGTCAATCATTAAAAAATTACCGCAAATCAAAATGGTCTAGTGTATACAGAGCTAGAAAGATGTAAAGTCGATAGAAATTACTTAAATTTTTTTTAACATACTTGGCATTGGTCGAAACTCCACTAATGTTCCAGATTCGATGGTGAATTTAGGAACTTCTATTACACTGTAACTTATTACTTTAAAATTGAAGAAACCTATAAAACAGAAAACAAAACTTTGTTAATTTCTTTCTATTGGTTTTCAAGAGAGATTTCGGAAACTTTATCAGACAATAAGCTGAAATCTTTGTAGATGATTTTACATTTTAAAATAAACATTTTCTACAAATATATTCAGCAATATAATTTCAACCGATCAATATATGTATATAAAAATTACTGCATCGAATAGTTAACACATTTTGTGTACTATGTACTAAATATTAGTTGCAACATTCATTGATTAATGTAGGTTATTGTGTGGTAATCAATGTGAAATGCGAATGTCATCGAGCTTGAATGAACAGACACAGCCTATTGATTGCCAAACATATGGTTTCTTTTCATCTCATTGAATTCTACACGATAGTCCCTTTGTGGGACTGATTGCAGTTGTATGGAATGATATATAGTATATTGATTACTCTATTTCAGATATAACATGATCTATTCTACATTGTAGCGTGACGTCCGAGTATCCAATCCAGTTGTTAGTTTAAACAACTCGGTCACCCAGAACAGTCTCGATTTATCTCAGTATTTTATTATCGTAGTAATATCATGGGAGGAAATAATTTCCAATGCTACTGTTATAACAGTTTCAACTTCCGTTACTCATACTTTGGTAACTATCAGACTGTGAGATAATATCTCGTTGGTTTTATTCATCAATGGGTTGATCTATGTGACTCATATTTGTGTGCCCGTGATAATCTTCATTCGAATTTCAAATACATACTCAAATTCTAGGTGATATGAAACAGAAACTGAAAACAACACCTCAACTTATCACTATTGAATATTAACATATCAGCGAATTTAGAACATGGTACTACAATGATCGAGTATTCAAATTTCGTTGTTTCACGATCATGCGTGAAGATTCATAATTAGTCGATAGTTATCTTGGAAGTTGGGCAATCACGTGAGAAAGTAATGTCAGCTAGCCCAAACTGAGTTCTCTACCAACAAACTTGTCTTGTCACTTTGTCACCAGCTGTATTCCAGAATCAAGTGGAAGATTGGGAGACAGTTGTGAATTCTCAAACTGATAAACAGACAAATCACATGTACATTTTGGATTGAGATCAGCATGGTTTGAACCAGTTTGTCACTCAGTGAAAACAATGAATTCAATCAACCTAGTTGAAATATTTTCTTATTCGAGGTGATCGAAAACACGAATTCAGAATAAGGCTAATTTGTTTGACACACAAACTAATTGACAAACATTAATGCGTAGTCACTTTCACCATCAATATTCACTGAAGCAAACTGTGTCTGCTGATCAAGTGGGTTTTCAGTGGTAAACAGATAACGATTGTGTGATGAAGTTAAGCGAACAGATAACCGATGAATGAGATCATAATACATGGAAAAAGAAACAAAGTTCTTTCCAGTTGTTCTTACTTGGTGTCTCTTCTCTACACACAAATCCATCTGAAATCTCCGACTGAATCTGATTTCTATCAATGTCCCAAGGTATCTGAAAGCAAGTTATGGAAATTCGAGTTAGCATCTGTCAAAATAAAGTCTCCTCTAGTATAAACACATTTATATACATTGTGTTAAAATAACTTCACAATTTCGTTCAAGAACGTTGATTACAGATTCAACTCACAAGCATTATCAAATTAGTTCATGGATTTGGTGTTTCAAACAACCGACAAACCGTTCAACAATTTAAAACTAATTATTTTACATATTTGAAATCATCAATCAATCATTGTTAGACTAACATTAGAAACTTGGAAGCACTGGACGGCCGTTTCGTCCTGATATGGGACTCATCAGCAGTATGCATCGACGACTCCTGCACCTCACTAGAACTCCGAGAATTTCCTCACGAAGCTAGTCACTAGTGAGCACTGCCTGAAAATAAGTATTTTACGTCCACAAAATGCTACATAAGATCACGACTTTTACATATAACAGAACACTTAAATTATTCAGCAGCAGTTATCCCTTACAATTAATTTCACGTTTGATTAGCTTATTCTCTTTCCCACTAGTCAACGAAAGTGTGTTGCGACGATGTTAGGATATTCATCCAATAGCCTAAGAGAATTATTGGTCATTTCCTATTGGTTCATTCCTACCGGTCAATTCTATGGTCGTCCTAGATATCAATGTCACTTCAAATGTTATTTCCTATCGGTCGTCTTAACTGTCAGTGTCGCAGACTTCAATGCTGTTTCTCATTCAACCAAAATGTATAAATACGCATTATCTGTAACGTTTTATGACCAGGACCGGGACCCGGTCCCGGATCCCTAGTCCGGGATCCTGATTCTCTTCTGGACTTGGACCTCGTGCTTTCTGGATGCTTGTAGAATACAGGTTCTACTTCATATCAAGTCTTGTTATATTTTTACTCAATATAGGGGTTGGGATAATTGGATTTGAGTAGCATGTCGTGTCGCCGGATCCTCGCTCTCGTTTTTCGTCTTGGTAAACTCGTAATAGTTCAGGTATATCAAGTTGACGTGTTTATGTGCAGGCGTAATAAACGAGAATAACATTGTGTGATTAAGATTGTTTAGCCATTTATTTCAATCATGTTAGGTGTTTATTGTCATGCATATCAGTTTTGCGGTACATGAGACGGTAATTTAAACTGGAACACTTTAATAAACTTGATAAATTATCCAAGTAATAGACTTGCCTTTTTGTAGTAAAAGGATATGTTCCCGTTACCATATAGATAAGCATTAGTCTGAACTGAATTATATTTCAAAGTAATCATTAGGCAAGTTTATCGAAT